GTCTCCTTTTTATAAGACCCTGTGGGGATGTTTCTTTGCTTTTTATATTTCTTTACTCTTATTTTAGTGGGATTTCAGAGGGAGCCAGCAAATGCATATATTCAGTACTAAAATTGTTTTTGCAATGTCAGTATGCTTCTAGGGTAAAAAACTTGATTATAAAGATGCAGTAAGATGTTTGCAGCTGAATACTTTAACATTATCTTTCTACAAAACTAAGACTGCACTATTCCTTAAGTATTGCCTTGTTTTCTAGAAACTTGTCATCTTATTCTTTCTGGAAATATCCTTTAATTTAGACTTGATAAATTTGGGGGGGGGGTGGTAAGAAATTTTGGTAACTTACTCTAAATCCTACAAATTCTTCATACTAAGAAGATGTCTCTCCTGAAGACCTGCACTTAGATCATAAGATTTTTCTCTTAATCAGTCCTAATTGTTTGACTTGAAACAGCACACATCTTGCAAATTCTAGAGAGGTTGAAAGTACTTTTTTGTTGATGCATGATGAATCAACTCATTCATGAAATCTTATGTAAAAACATTTTATTTCTTGAATAGCAGTTAGTATGAAGGTTATACTAAAGAGATATGAAGGTTATACTAAAGAGATAACATTTGGAGAGAAAAAGAAAAGATCACCATTTGCCTAAACATTTTATTCTGTTTCTACAGGGGATGTAATGCTATAAAATTATTTTATTCTTATAGAAAACATATTTATAGCTTACATTCTTTAAAGTTATAAAAGTGATGGAACCAGTCAGAAATAAAATTTTTTCTTTCTGTGTAAAGTTCTTTCTTTCTGCAGTAGGTATTTATTTAATTGGACTCTTCAGCATGATTAGTTTGTATCTGCACTTCCCAGGGCAGAATTGACAAACATTATCAAAGTAGAGAAATCGCGTCATTTTTTTATTATACTGCTTAAGAAATATTTTGATTTTAGAAATTAGTTCTCTGAAAATACTGCAGAATTCTTTGGTTGCTTCATGATTTACTATAAATGGTCATTAGTATTTGTTACAGTTGTCCTCTTTGTTTTTATGACCTTAACGTCTGTTTACTTCAGAGCAACCAAGTTGAGTTTTCTATTATATATGTGTGATTTTATCACTTCCTTATTTCAGACCTCTTCAGAGTCTTTCCTTTAGATTTAGGATTAAATATAAATTAAATTAAATCTAGAATTAAACTCCCTAATGTGGGTTTGCCTACCATAATCTGGTTCTTGACTCCTTTAGCCTCGTCTCTTACTCTCCTTTTAGAACTCCGTGATCTGGCCATTCATTGCTCAGAATATTTTTCAATTTCTTGAAAACACCTTTCTCCCTCTTGCTTCAGAGTCCTTGTATACAGACTATTTCCTCTACCTAGAACACTCCCTCTCAGTCTCTCACTTTTCTTTAGTTGATTGCTAATATCTTTTGATTCTACCTTAAAACTAACCTCCTCTGGGAAACTTTGCCCCAGTCTCTGAAGCTTCAGTTAGATCTTTCTTAGGTTGTTTGTATAATAATGGGAGCTGTGCATTTATCATCAGGGCCAGGACTAGGGTGAGGCAAGTGAGGTGATGAGAGTGAGTGCCTCCTTAAATTTTGGCCCTGCACACTTCGTTTGCTCCATCCTAGCAGCCACGTGCTTATATATTCCCCGGGGTCAGCAGACTAGGAGCTATGGGCCAGATCCAGCCTGCTGCTTGTTTTTGTAAAGTCTGTGAGTTAATAATGATTTTTACGAGTAAGCCCTGATGGCCTAGCGGTTAAAGTTCGGCGCGCTCTGCTTCGGTGGCCCTGGCCTGGTTCCCCGGTGTGGAACTACACCATTTGTCTGTCAGTAGCCATGCTGTGGCAGCAGCTCACATAGAAGAACCAGAAGAACCTACAACTATACACAACTGTGTACTGGGGCTTTAGGGGGAAAAAAAGAAAAAAGAGGAAGTTGGCAACAGATGTTAGCTTAGGGAAAATCTTCCCCTGCAAAAAAA